CTGCCCTGACCCCCCCGCTGCCCTCTCTCCTGACCCCTCGTCCGCTGAGCGTGAGTCCGCTGCAGCCGCTGCCCTTGCTCGCTCTGTCTGGCTGTCCCGTCACGCTGTTGCACAGCCTGCTATTAGCAATGCCCTCCCCCTGTCCGAGCAACCTCGCTTCAAGTCTATCACCACTGCCCAGGCTTTCCTAGATGCTGTTGTCCAGCGCTATTCCACCCTGCCTGCTGCCTCGGTCGGTCGTCTGATCCTCCCCATGCTCTTTCCTGACCTTGCGTCGTTCCCCACTGTCGCCGACCTGGCCGCTCACCTGCGCACCATAGACGAGACCTGGCGTGCTGCCTGCACCCACACAGAGCTTCTAGCCCACCAGCCGCCCCTCAGCTCTACTCTCTACCTGCTAGCCACCCGCCTCCCTGACCGTCTTGCCACTGCCCGTGACCGCTTTCTTAGCATCCACTCAGTAGACCTTACCCTCACTGACTTTGTTGATACCCTGTCCGCTATAGAGTCCCGCCACCGCTCTATCGCTCAGACCAGTGGTACTGTGCCGGTCCCGCTCAGTGCACCTTCTCCGACGGTTCTGCTGCTATGGCTGAGACTGCCGCTACCGCACAGGTTCGTCTGGGGAAGGGTCGCCGCCCCAAGGCTGGACGTGGCAACGGGGGTGGGGGTGCGGGTGTAGGTGGTGCTGGAGTTGGGTCACCTAGTGGTGGTGCTGACGCGGGGACCCTAACAGGTGCAGCCGAGCAGCCGTCTCAGCAGTCGCCGGACCCGCGCCAGCCACAGCAGCCGCAGCCGCCGCAGCCGCAGCAGTCGCAGCAGCAGCAGAGGCAGACGAGTCGTCTTCCGACTGGGTGGCCCGGCGCTGGTGGCAGTGCTGGACGTGGTGGTGGTGCGCGTGGTGGGCTGCCGAGTGGTGGTTCGGGTGCCGCGCGCTGTCAGTACCTGCTTCAGACCGGTCCTCGCCATGGCTTCGTTTGCGGTAAGATCGGTCATACCTCTGTCCGCTGTTTTCGTCGCCTGGACGACCTGTTTTATCAGCGTTTCGGCCCGTCGCCCGAGCTCCCTGACTGGCACAGCTTGCTTAGTCATAGGGTTCAGATATTATATCTGGACATGGATGCGATTGTTGCTGCTCTGCATGTGATGTATGCTGATGACTCTAGTGTGCTTCCGTCTTATTACCCCTTGTTGCCTATTCTAGGTGTGCCTTCCTTAGACTCCCCTACTGCGTCAAGCATAGGATCCCCTGCTTTGTTTAGCCTTGGTGCTTCCGTCGCTACTTTGCCTCTGGCCGTCACTGCCGCGCTCTCCTTCACCCTCGACTCTGGCGCTTCCCGGTGCTTCTTCCGCGACTCCACCACGTTGACACCGCTTCCTGTCCCTGTCGCAGTCTCTCTTGCTGACCCCTCCTCCGGCCCTGTAGTCGCCCGCAGTTCCACCACCCTCCCCTGCCCGGCGGTTCCTTCGGGCTCTCTCACAGGCCTGCACGTCCCCTCGTTTTCCAGGAACCTAGTTGGTGTCGGCTGCCTCTAGGACCTTGGCATCACCACTATGTTCCCTGGTCACGAGCGGTACGCTGTCTGTACCGAGGCCGAATCTGGTGCCCCCCTTACCACGTTCCCCCGGGACCCAATGTCCGGACTGTTCACACTGGACACGGTGACCCTCCCGGCTGGGACCCCGCCTCAGGTGGTTGCGTTTACCCAGGTTGCTGCTGCCTGCTCCTGTCGGTCATTCACCCATCCGACTCTCCTATGGCACCACCGTCTAGGTCACCCTGCGCTCCCGCGTCTGCGTCACATGTCACAGCACAGTCTCGTCCTAGGCCTCCCTGGGTCGTTCTCTGAGTTTCCCTCCTCCCCTGCCCCACCTTGCACAACTTGTGTCGAGGGCCGGCTTCACCGTTCACCGGCGGTCTCCCTGTCTTGCGCCACCACTTCGACCGTGGTGGCGAGTTTGCCTCTGGTTTCCTTGGTCGTTTCTGTCGTATGGAGGGCATCACCCAGACGTTCACCTTGCCGGTCTCCCCGCAGAAGAATGGGGTCACTGAGCGACGCATCGGTTTGGTCATGGAGGTCCCCTCCTCCGCCGCCTCCGCAGCCGCAGCCGTCGTCATCGCCACCGCCGTCGCCGCAGCCGCCGTTGCGACCGCCGCCGCCGCAGCTGTCGCCACAGCAGTTTGTTGCCTCTGGGGGTGCTGGAGTTGGGGTGGGTACTAGTCCTGGGACTCCTGTCCTGGCTTGTCCCGGCGGGCCTGGGGGTGGTACCGGTGCTCGAGGGGTTCTGAGCTTTGGGGATGTTTCTTCTGGGGGTGCTGGTGTGGAGTGTTCTGGAGGTAGCCGCCCGGGAGCTTGCGGTCCCGGTGTCGGTGTCACACCGCCGTCACAGCAGTCCCCGCCGGTGTCCGCTCTTCGCCTGCTCGGCCTTCCGTCCCCTGACCCCCTGCCCGTGCCTCCTCCTCCTCTTGTCTCCGGCCCTGTGTTCCCTCCTTAAGACGCGTCTCCGGCCCGTTTCCCCCCTCGTTCCCCTCCTGTGTCCCCTCCTCTGTCTCCTGACCCGACTCCCCCATCTCACGTCTGGTCTCGCCGTCCCTCCTGTGCTCGACCTGTCTCCTCTGTCTCGCGCTCTCACCCTATGTTGCTTCGTTCTCACGCGTCTCGTCCTCCCCTTCTCCCGTCGCCCCCTCCGTCCTCCTTTGTTGTTGCTTCCCCCCCTCTGTCTACCTACATGCGTGCCGCTCGTCCTCTTGTTCCTCGGGTCCTTGCCTCTCTCGTTACCGACCTGTCTGTTCCGGTTTCGAGCCTTGACGCCCTTGTCGCTGCGGTCGCTGACTTTGCCTCTACCCACCGCCTTGACTACGCCACCACTCTGGTCTCTGACCCTGCCTGTCCTCCGTCTATCGGGGATGCTCCTGCCCTTGGCAGTGACGTCCTGGAGGACCTCCAGTACGAGCTGGCTTTCTTGTCCGAGGCTGCTCCCCATCTCTGTTCCATGCTCCTATTCCCTGAGGGTGAACCCGACGCTTTCGACATCCCGACCCCTCGCACTTACGCTGAGGCGGTCTTGGGGCCCTGGGCCTCTCAGTGGATAGCTGCCATGGAGCAGGAGATGGCATCTTGGAGATCCACCGGCACCTATGTCGACGCAGTTCTCCCACCTGGGGTGAACGCAGTTGATGGCCGCTGGCTCTTCAAGGTGAAGCGCCCTCCTTGAGAGCCGCCTGTGTTCAAGGCGCGCTACGTGGCTAGAGGTTTCATTCAGCATGAGGGGGTGGACTTCTTCCAGACCTTCGCTCCGACCCCGAAGATGAATACTCTTCGGGTGCTGCTATACGTAGCTGCGCAGCGTGACTACGAGCTTCACTCCCTTGACTTCTCCACTTTGTTTCTTCAGGGCAGTCTACACGAGCAGGTCTACCTGCGTCGCCCACAGGGCTTCACTGGTACCTTCCCTCCTGGGACCTAGTGGCTCCTCCAGTGCCCCGTCTACGGCCTGCGGCAGGCTCCCCGTGAGTGGCACGACACGCTGCGTGCTACGCTTGCTGACCTGCAGTTCTTTTCGTCCTCTGCAGACCCCTCGCTCTTCGTTCGTGCTGGCTAGACTCCGTTCTACATCCTTGTTTACGTAGACGACCTGGTCTTCGCCACGGCAGACAGGGACGCACTGGCCTCCGTGAAGGCAGAGCTCCTGAAGAGACACACCTGCACTGACCTTGGAGAACTGCGCCACTACCTTGGCTTGCAGATCTCCAGGGACAGAGCAGCGCGCACCATCACTTTGACTCAGTCACACTTGGTGCGCCAAGTCCTTCAGAGGTTCGGCCTTCAGTTCTCCTCCGCACAGCCTACTCCTCTGACTCTAGACCACAAGCTCTCCGCTCCAGTTCCTGAGGAGTCAGCAGAGCCCAGTAGTCCTTACGCAGAGCTGGTGGGTTGCCTCATGTACCTGATGACTTGCATGCGCCCAGATCTCGCATACCCTCTCAGCATGCTGGCTCGCTTTGTGGTTACAGGCAGACACCGACCTCAGCACTGGTCGGCCGCTAAGAGGGTTTTGCGTTATCTTGCAAGTACATCGGGCATGGGGTTAGTACTAGGAGGACGTAGGCCAGTGGTCCTTACTGGACACACAGACGCTTCTTGGGCAGACGACGTCGAGACCCTCAAGTCCTCACAGGGCTACTGCTTTAGCCTTGGTTCAGGTGCCGTCTCGTGGAGAGCTACCCGCTCCTCGTCTGTTGCCCAGTCCAGCTGTGAAGCCGAGATCTACGCCGGTGCCATGGCGGCACAGGAGCTCCGCTGGCTGACCTTCTTGCTCACTGACTTAGGTGAGCGGCCTAGCTCTGCCTCGGTCCTGTACGCTGACAACAGGGCCATGATCCTCCTGTGTCAGGAGCCTCGACTCGAGGGCAGAGCGAAGCACATTCAGCTGCGGTACTTCCTCCTTTGTGAGCTGCAGCAGCGTCGCCATGCGCGCGTAGTACACTTGGCCTCCGGTGCCAACACAGCTGATATCTTTACGAAGGCGCTTGCGCCTAAAGATCATCAGCGGCACTGTGTACAGCTAGGTCTCGTTCCTGTAGCCTCTCACTTGCTAGGGCCTTGACTTTGTACTGTCCTTCATATCTATATTTTACCCGGACTGGCCTTGTGGCCTCTCCCAGTGGCTGGACTAGTAGTGCCGCCCTGGGCTTGCTCTTGCCTTGTCTGTACTCCTTTTGACTGGTCTTTAGACCCTGTCTCAGAGGCTGGACTAGTAGTGCCGCCCTGAGCTGCTTCTTCCCTTGTTAGGCAGTGCCCCTATATAGTCTAGGGGGTGTGTCAAATGTAACTTAGGTTGTTACTGTAGACTGTACTGGATTGTACCTTAGAGGGTTCAACACCCTAGTCTATATATCCTTGTACACACACATTCTAGTTCAATCATTTTTCTTTCTGATACTTCCTCGAGCTCTTGCCATTAGGGAACATTTTGGGCTCATGTGACATGTCAAGCTGCTAGTCATGTCAGTCAGTTGTCCCATACACTCTTTATACACGCACCCCGTGAAGCGTTCTACAGTACAATCTCTACTGTTCCAAAGGCTCATGCCAGCATGGTTACAAACAACTTCAGGTGCACAAAAGAGACGAATGCAATGAGCCACGAGGGAATTGTGTGATTATTATTATCGCACGATACTTCCTGAGTACACGTCTCCACAACAAGTATTCGCCAGCCATCAACCATCCAGGCTCCTGGTCCCAGCACTTCAAAACTCTGCTTCTGTTTCCCAACCCCCCTCCCCTCTTCTCCCTTCCCATTCGGTGTTAGCTCTCCCTGGCAATCTCGCCCCCCCCGTTGGCTGCGGCACCAGTGCCCGCAGCAGCACCACCAACCGCAGCCATTTCTTGCTGCGGCGGCGGGTTGAGGCTGACCCCCTCATCAAGTGCCGGGAGCCGCAGAACCATCTCCCGGTGCTCCTGGCACAGCGCGCACGGGTGCAGGCAGCAGTGCACACAGCATGGATCGCACGGCGCATTCTGATTGCCCGAGAGGAGGGGAGTGGAGACGGGAATGGAGAAAGGGGGAAAGCGCAAGGGAGCAGGATCAAGGTGAGCGCACGGGGAAAAAGTGCAAGGGAGGTCGTACCACAGGGAGGAAGAGGCGGAAAGAGTGTATGGGAGTGGAGAGAATGGGATTGGACAAATGAGGGAGATGGTGGGGGGAAAGCAAGGTTCGGGGTGGTGGGGTTTGTGAGGAGGTGTGAGAATGGGCGCTGATACAGGTGTGGATGGTGGAAGGTTGATGGAAGGCCAGGTGGATGGTGGAATCAGGTGGATGGTGGAATCAGGTGGATGGTGGAATCAGGTGGATGGTGGAATCAGGTGGATGGTGGAATCAGGTGGATGGTGGAATCAGGTGGATGGTGGAATCAGGTGGATGGTGGAATCAGGTGGATGGTGGAATCAGGTGGATGGTGGAATCAGGTGGATGGTGGAATCAGGTGGATGGTGGAATCAGGTGGATGGTGGAATCAGGTGGATGGTGGAACAGAAGGAAGTGGGAACTGAGGGGTAAAAAAGAAGAAAGTGAGCTCCTTGCTCCTTGCTCGTTTATCGATGCTTTGTTCTCTGTATCAAGCTGCCCGTTCAGTAAACATCATTTCGTTCCCCTCTGCTCATTCCCCTTCAACTGAATCGTGGCCCCCTCTTCCCCCTACCAACTTCCCCAGTCCCCCCCCCCCCCACCCTCCCCCATCCCGCACATTCCCCCCAAACGACCGCCTAACAACAGCCCTAACCCAACCAGGCCTAGCAACAGCCCTAACCCAACCAGGCCTAGCAACAGCCCTAACCCAACCAGGCCTAGCAATAGCCCTAACCCAACCAGGGCGAATTCTTCTCAGTCCTGAAATTTTCCACCCTTCTACACCACCCTCCCCCTCCCTCTCCCTCCCCTTTCCCCTCCCATTCCCCTCCCTTACCCCTCCCTTTCCCCTACCCTTTCCCCTCCCTTTTCCCCTCCCCTTCCCCCTCTCTTTCCCCCTCCCCCATCCCCTCCCAGCGCCCACCTAGAGGTGACATTTCTTCTGCACCTCCAGTCAAAAGTTTTTGAGCTTTGAGACGACTCAAACCCCGATATTGAGACGCTTTAATAAGCTATCCCCCCCCAGCGCCCACCTTGAGGTGATACTTCTTCTGCAGCTCCTGTCGAAACAGCCCCGTGTAGATCCCGCACATCCACCACGCGAAGAAGAGCGTCTCCCCGAGCAGGAACAGCGTCTGCGGGTCCACCGTAATGTACGCCGGGCAGCACAGCAGCACGGACCCCAGCGCCACGCCGCCCTCGATGCACATCACGTGGCACGCACACGCCGCCGACCACGGGATGTCGTCGCGCAGCGCCTCCACGTTCTTGCCGAACAGCACGCACGGGCAGAGCGCGCCCTGGATGCCTGGCGCGGGTGGGGCGTGGGGGTGGGGGGGGGGGGAGGGGGATGAGGGGGGGGGGGATGAGGGGGGATGAAGAGGAACGGGTGTGAATGGACACCGGACGGAGAGAGTGAGAATGGCAATTAAGATGGGACGGTAAATGATGGCAACGGCAGGGAAAAGCACGGCGAAATAGCCAAGCGATGGCACGGCGACCGTGTGGCACGGCAGGGAATGCATGAGCACGGCATGGCACGTACAGCTGCGTTGATCCTTGAAGCACGCGAATATGCCAGTGGTCCATGGCTCGTCCTGAGGTGGCTCGTACGACTGGGGCAGGACTTGGCCGCACTCGATGCACCGCTGCACCTCCAGCTGAGAGGGGATCAGAGGAGGAGGAGGGGAGGAGGGGGGATAAGAGAAGAGAAATGGGGAACAGATCTGTGGACGGCCAGCTAGAGCATCACAGAATACCCCTCAGGTGAAGCGATTTGAGACAGAGAGCAAGGATGTGGGAGAAATTGACGGAGAGGAGACGGAGGGGAGGCTAAACTAGGTGGGGAGACGAGTAAGGCAGCACGAAATTAGGGTGGTTAGAGTTCCAGATCCGCCCCAAGGTGGATCAGTCCCCTGCATGCGTGTGGCCTTGGGTCGTACGTGTGCTAGTAAGTAGCCTAAGCAAGTTCGCGTCCGGTCAAAGGTAACCCGCGAGAACTTGAATCTCGGTGATTGTGTCACCTATCCCACCTAAACCACGCAATCTGACCAACAGCAGCACCTAGAAACCGAGATCGCACCATCGCCAGGCAGCCGCGTCAAACACCTCCGGCTGAACGACACCTTTGTATGTGGTCAACGCAACACAGAGATGAGTTCGGGGAGACAGGAGCACGGCACACCTGAGGGACCTCCACGGGTTGGCTGAGCTCGCCCGGCTCCGTGTCTGGTTGGTCCGTGATGTACTCCTTCTTCAGCTTCACGTACTGCGACGGATTTGAGCCGTCCGATGACATTCTGCCTGATCTGATTGACTGGCGGACTGTAAGTGACCTAGGCGCGGAGCAACGGCGGAATCCGGTGGCGCACGAGCGTCTTCTGGTAGATGATGTCAGGCGCTTGACGGAGGGAGCGGGGGTTTGGATTTGATTGGTTCCCCGAGCGAGAGAAGTTGGCCAACGCGGTGTGGAGAAGCGTGACGACGAGTGCACTCCGTAACAGACAAAGGGAGATTAAGTGACGATTCGTTGTCGTGGTGTCGTTCTGTGAAGCACCTGATCCGTATATGGCAAGGGACGCTTCAAATCTATGGAGACTTCCAGAGACAAAAGGTATATGCGCCCAAGCGCCAGTGGTGCAATGCCTATGTGGCCCGTCAACTGAGAAAGGGGCATACGGTGGCTAAGTAATCGAAAAGAATCGGAGAAGGTTGCCTTGTGCACTACGGTCTCTGATGTTATGCACTAGACGAATCTAAATTGGCATAAATGCCAAGCAGCTTGAGCCAACAATTTGGAAATACTGCATCTGGTCTGGTGGCAATGGCCGCAGTCCACGGTTAGGAGGAATCAGAATTCACTCGCTGCAGAACGCTGACAGTTTGGTTGGTCAGTTGGGCAAGCAAGGCATGTCAACAATTCGACGGGACGGAACGGAACGGAATCCGTCAACGAAGCGGCGGTTTGTGCCAGATGGAGCAGTTCCCAAGAGCGCTCGGACGGAAAGCCTCGGTTTGTGCGGGCTGGTAACCCAGCGCGCAGAATTTCTGACCAATGGGAGGCGAGACAGGAGGCAGGAGCTTGGGGGGAGAGGAAAACCTAGGGAGTTGTTGCAGCGAGCGTCACTGCAACCACAGATGCAGCAAGTCTGACAGCATGAGTGAAAGGAGAAGATCCTCCCCCGACCAGCTTCCCAGCCTGCCCTGATTGGCTGGGTGAGCTGTGTGTCACAGGGAGGCGCTTGGTCAAAGCTGATGTGCGTCGAATGCATGTATATGAAATACGCAACAATTGTCTTGACGCTGAAGTAACTCGGTTTTCACTTCATGCTATCACATTCAGGAACTTCTGAAGTGACCTTTGTAAGCTACAAACAGCAGCCAGTTAGACACCATTCTCGTGTTAAAGCCCGAGTCTAGAATGGTAAAAATCCATATTTACTGACCATGAAAACAGTGCCAAAAACGCTGGGCGAAACCAATTTCGGCAAAGCTCCCCTGGCGAAAACTATTTCTCTGCGAAATTTTTATGTTGCTCGTGACGCAAAAGAAACCCAACAACTTGCAATCAACAGTTCGCAAACAGTGACGACTTTGGGGGAGGGGGGCGAACTGTATGTTGTGATATATGAAGTTTTGCATTCCTGCAAGTTCCGTTTTCAGTGTAGTTAGCAGTATCGAGTTTTCTCGGTAAGGAAACAAGTCCGAGTGCTGACGTCAGCAAAGCATCGCGGGTCTCGGGATGACGTCATATACCGCTTCAGTTACGTGATTAGGCGTAACGAGTCGTTCCAGTCACGCGAACAGTCGCGACCCTATAGAATGACGAATAGGTCGCATAGCGCGATAGCGACGAACAGGTACATTAGCGAAGAGGTACTTTCCCTAGAGCTATAAATCCTTGTAATGCCTTTCTATTATTAACCTTGACTTTCCACAGAATTATGTGCTCAGGTTATTCAACCTTCGACTACCCACAAGTTCATGTGCTCAGGTTCACTCTGATAAGACTTCCGCTGTCTTACTAGTCTACCATTCCAGCAAAGATCCTTGGTTAAGTACTTGTGTTTATAGTTTTATACTTAGTCTACTACAACACCAGACGATTTACTTCATGGTATGAGAGCTATCTGGAATTAAGACTACCGTCAACTTTGACTGGTTCATCACCAGCACCGTCTGCCGGATCAGTTACCGGAACTACAGGAGCACATGCCTCTACTACCGCCGCTGGTCTCTCAGCCTCTGGGCACTTTCCACCAGCCTACGCTAACATCGGTATGCAAAATCCGCCTTCTGTGAATACTCCAGGTGCTCCATCGACTGCACCTGCAACGCAACAGCAACAGTCACAGACAACAGCACAGTAACAAGCATCAGTACAGCCACCAGTCACAACGCAATCTATTTCATCTGCGTTCAGTGGAATGAGCCTTGACGGCTCAAGTTACATGCGTGGAGCAACAGCTCCAAACACTGGTTCGTTCGCCTTCTCACCTTTCGTACAGCAGCCGCAGTCGCAGCAGTTTCAACATCCTTTTTATGTCTTCGGTCGTTCTCCTGCTCAGCAACCACAGCAAGTACAGCAACAGCAATATCAGCAACCACAAGTACAGCAACCACAGCAACAGCAACTGCAACAACAACAACAGCCAGGCATTGTTTTTCAGCCTCCAAAGTTACTTAACAATACTCAGATCAAGACAACCGTACCTTTTAATGGTGTTGACTTCTACTCATGGAGCTTTGAATTTGAGCTTCTGGCGCAGTCCGCTGGGCTTTGGCCGTTCTTCACCGGAGAATTCACCTATCATGTTACGGGAACACAACTGGAGCAGCAAAGTTTCTTGCACGCCTCTCTCGGGGCGTATACAGTTCTTGTCCGAAACTTGTCACCGAAGGAGCAGCTCGGCGTTCGATCATTTCACTCAAGCTTTACACCAGCCGAAACTGCATGGAATCATTTGAAAGGGGTATACATGGCAAAGGATACGATAACAGTGAGTGAAATACTTTCGCAGTTGACAAATGTGCAGATGATGACAAACGAAAACGTCATGGACTACGTTAACCGTGTCCGTACACTACGTGATCAACTGGAGAAAAGTGGGGGATACTTCCCTCGTGAGATGTATCTCACGGTCCTTCTGGCTGGTCTTGGACCCGAATGGCGACAGACGCGCGCCTTTCTGCGCATGAATCCCAACCTCTCCGAAGCTGAAATTTCTTCTTATCTTCAAGCAGAGCAGCAAGATCTTGACCTGCAGTCACAATGCAACAAAAGGCCGGATATACAACTCAGTTTCTATTCAACACCAACTCGACGTCCTCGATTCTTCTGTCAACTCTGCAACAAGGGAGGACATTCTACCGATCGATGCTACTTTAACAAGAGGTATTTACCTCATGAAGAATTGCAGAAGTCGCAATCATCACAGCACCGACGTCAGCCTTCGAAGCTGTTTTTGCAGCAGCCTACGCCTCCAAAATCAGCATCTGCAATATCAACACCACCAATGACACTCAGTTCTGCCCCTCCAAGCAACTCATCAAAGCCGGCAGCAAATAATTCAAACTCTGCCAACAATACGGTAACCTCCAATTTTCGTTTACCTACTTCATCCACTCACGTGGTTAACTGCAGTTCAGATACCGATACTTGGTACTTGGATAGTTGTTGTGGCCACCATATGGTTTCTTCAACAAATCCTTTCATCTACAACCGTCGTCGACTTCTTTAGCCCTGCCCAATCACACTCGCCAACGGTCAAACAATTTCAGCATAAAATATCGGCAGTCTCCTTTTGACATCAACCGATACGGGAAAGTCTTTATGCCTTACCAGCGTTTTACTCGTCGACAATCTTGGCTTCAATTTAGTGTCAACTCTTCAACTCTTGAAGAAGAAAATCCGCACGATCGGAAACTGCACGACACTGGAGCAAGAGTTAATACATGATGTGGACAACACGAACATCGGAAAAGCAGCAACAAAAAATGGCGTATTCGTCTTACGATTCAAAGCCGCAAAACCTTCTGAAGAAACCGCTCCTCTTCAAGCTCCATCAATCATCGCAGCCGTTGCTTTGGTGACCGTTCCACCGATTGAACTCAACAGCAGCGAAGAAGAAACTCCGAGTAGCAGCACCACCAACATCTTTGCCGACACACCTGCCGTTAATATCAAAGACGATATTAGTCAAGAACACGAGGAAACACTGCAAACCGCTCCTGAAAATTTCTTCGACACTACAACTACTCTCGACAAACCTTCTGACAATTCTTCAACAACCACTCTCGACAAGCCTGCAGAAACATCTTCAACTACACGTCTTCAAGAGAAAGGTTATGCACTCTCAAGAGAAGCCGCTTACCAGACTACGACCTCCAACGACTACAAGAAAGGCATCGGCATCACTCGTCACCCAACCCCTCGTTATCACGTTCAACAATGCAACGAAGAAGAAGGGTTGAACAGTACCCTACACGAGCTACGTGAGCAGCTGCGTGCACTGCTGCCTCAACAAATTACTCTGCCCGAAACTGCAACATCAGAAATGCCCGTTACTTCACAGTTCTTTTTCAAGCCTCCGAATGTTATCGCGCTCCTCTCCACCACGTGCAACCCTCTCGTGGATTTGCATTCATACCCTTCGGTCTTGCCACGTTCAATGGCGCAACCTCAACTACTTTCAACCCGACTCATTTTTACTCTGCCGAAGTGAGGGGGGGAGGAGGATCTACACGCACTTCGTCAAAGCCAAAATTCGTTATCAACAAGGGAAGAACGCGATTGGTCTACCGTTTGACCAATGGAATGACCGCCGACTACTTACAGCACATGAAGCTTACACGTCACAAGATTCCAAATTGCAGATTTTATTCGCCGGACTCCGACAACGACGTGACTACATCGAACTTCCAGGAATGAAGGGGAGTGTTGTGATATATGAAGTTTTGCATTCCTGCAAGTTCCGTTTTCAGTGTAGTTAGCAGTATCGAGTTTTCTCGGTAAGGAAACAAGTCCGAGTGCTGACGTCAGCAAAGCATCGCGGGTCTCGGGATGACGTCATATACCGCTTCAGTTACGTGATTAGGCGTAACGAGTCGTTCCAGTCACGCGAACAGTCGCGACCCTATAGAATGACGAATAGGTCGCATAGCGCGATAGCGACGAACAGGTACATTAGCGAAGAGGTACTTTCCCTAGAGCTATAAATCCTTGTAATGCCTTTCTATTATTAACCTTGACTTTCCACGGAATTATGTGCTCAGGTTATTCAACCTTCGACTACCCACAAGTTCATGTGCTCAGGTTCACTCTGATAAGACTTCCGCTGTCTTACTAGTCTACCATTCCAGCAAAGATCCTTGGTTAAGTACTTGTGTTTATAGTTTTATACTTAGTCTACTACAACACCAGACGATTTACTTCATGGTATGAGAGCTATCTGGAATTAAGACTACCGTCAACTATGACTGGTTCATCACCAGCACCGTTTGCCGGATCAGTTACCGGAACTACAGGAACTAGAATGGTACCAGGCGTTTTCAAGTTCAGTATGAGTGAACAGTGAGTTCGAGGTTTGTCTCAAATAGCGAATTTCGCACGCTGCCCCATTTCCCCGAGGGTCGCGACGTGGAGGTACCCTTCACTGGGTTACTCACTTTTACGAAAACAAGTTCAGGAATCCTGAACTTGATAGCCAACCAATGTAGACTCGGGCTTTAAAGCCCGTAGCTAAAAACACAAAGCTGGGGCTGACTTGAAACTGATATATTTTTTACAGGCAGAAAAAGTTTCCACCTTTTGGCTCTGAACAGAATGTGAGCACACAAAAAAACTGGGGCGACAAGGAATGAGGACAGTCATTGGCGCGCGGCGATGCCACTGTGTCGACGACAACAAAACGTGTCCGCTCCGCACGACAACACCGCCCTCGTCGCTAAGCCTAGCCCAACGACCACGTTGGCGACCAGCCTCCCCCCTGGCATTTTCAAGTGGACCCCCACTTTGCATTTGGTGTGGTGTACGCACTAGGCGTTTTCTAGAACGTAAGCAGTTTAGCAGGTAGAGTATCGCAAAAGTAGCGCCAGTCATGCATTCCCTCTGCGATCCCGTTTAGGAATACAAGTTAAACGCGCGGCACAACGTCCTCGTCGAACAAGCTTCCGACACAAGGGCCACGACGAGCAGTACACAGCAGAAAAACAGTACAAATGCGCTCAAATCGGTCACGCTTCCCTCCCCATTCCTTCCATCGCGTTACACCTCCCTCCCCTCCCTCCCGTCACGTTACGCCTCCCTCCCCTCCCTCCCGTCGCATTACGCCTCCCTCCCCTCCCTCCCGCCGCGTTACGCCTCTCTCACCTCCCTCCCGTCGCGTTACGCCTCCCTCCCCTCCCTCCCGTCGCGTTACGCCCCCCTCCCCTCCCTCCCGTTGCGTTACGCCTCCCTCCCCTCCCTCCCGCCGCGTTACGCCTCCCTCCCCTCCCTCCCGCCGCGTTATGCCTCCCTCCCCTCCCTCCCGTCGCGTTACGCCTCCCTCCCCTCCCTCCCGTCGCGTTACGCCTCCCTCCCCTCCCTCCCGTCGCGTTACGCCTCCCTCCCCTCCCTCCCGTCGCGTTACGCCTCCCTCCCCTCCCTCCCGTCGCGTTACGCCTCCCTCCCTCCCTCCCGCCGCGTTACGCCTCCCTCCCCTCCCTCCCGCCGCGTTAGGCCTCCCTCCCCTCCCTCTCGTCGCGTTACGCCTCCCTCCCCTCCCCCCCACCGCGTTACGCCTCTCTCACTTCCCTCCCGTCGCGTTACGCCTCCCTCCCCTCCCTCCCGTCGTATTACGCCTCCCTCCCCTCCCTCCCGTCGCGTTACGCCTCCCTCCCCTCCCTCCCGTCGCGTTACGCCTCCCTCCCCTCCCTCCCGCCGCGTTACGCCTCCCTCCCCTCCCTCCCGCCGCGTTACGCCTCCCTCCCCTCCCTCCCGACGCGTTACGCCTCCCTCCCCTCCCTCCCGTCGCGTTACGCCTCCCTCCCCTCCCTCCCGCCGCGTTACGCCTTCCTCCCCTCCCTCCCGCCGCGTTACACCTCTCTCACCTCCCTCCCGTCGCGTTACGCCTCCCTCCCCTCCCTCCCGTCGCGTTACGCTTCCCTCCCCTCCCTTCCGTCGCGTTACGCCTCCCTCCCCTCCCTCCCGCCGCGTTACGCCTCCCTCCCCTCCCTCCCGTCGCGTTACGCCTCCCTCCCCTCCCTCTCATCGCGTTACGCCCCCCTCCCCTCTCTCCCGAGCGTAGCGCACCCCGCTACTCTATATCCCATCCTTCCTCTCTTCCCTGCCCCCCTACTTCAAGTACCCTCCTTTCTCCCCTTCCGAGAGATGGCAGAGAGGGGGGAAGGGACGAGGAGAGATATGGCAGAGAGGGGGGAAGGGATAGGGAGAGGTATGGCAGAGAGGGGAGAAGGGACGGGGAGAGGTATGGCAGAGAGGGGGGAAGGGACTGGGAGAGTGATGGCAGAGGGGGGAAGGGACAGGGAGAGATATGGGAGAGAGGGGGGAAGGGACGAGGAGAGAGATGGCAGAGGGGGGAAGGGACAGGGAAAGATATGGCAGAGAGGGGGGAAGGGACGGGGAGAGGTATGGCAGAGAGGGGGGAAGGGACTGGGAAATATATGGCAGAGAGGGGGGAAGGGACGGGGAGATATATGGCAAAGAGGGGGGAAATGGATGGGCGTGGGGAAGGGGATGGGTAGGGGGGCGCTTTTGCGGCAGGGGAATGGGGATGCAGATGGACGGTGGGATAGGTATGGGGAGGGAGCGGGGAGAGGGGGATATGGGGGGAGGGCTGGGGAGAGTTAAGGTGGAGAGTGAGGTCGGGCTGGGGTAAGTCTTGGGGTGAGAGTTGTTAGGGAGGCCGGGCAGTTCGCCCCTGCCTCCCTATATCCCCTGCCTCCGTTTCTCCATTGCCTCCCTATCTACCCTGCTTTACCATCTCCCCTGCCTCCCCATCTCCCCTGCCTCCCCATCTCCCCTGCCTCCCCATCTCCCTTGCCTCCCCATCTCCCCTTCCTCCCCATCTCCCCTTCCTCCCCATCTCCCCTTCCTCCCCATCTCCCCTGCCTCCCCATCTCCCCTTCCTCCCCATCTCCCCTGCCTCCCCATCCCCCTTCCTCCCCATCTCCCCTTCCTTCCCATCTCCCCTTCCTCCCCATCTCCCCTTCCTCCCCATCTCCCCTTCCTCCCCATCTCCCCTTCCTCCCCATCTCCCCTGCCTCCCCATCTCCCCTTCCTACCATCTCCCTTGCCTTCCCATCTACCCTTCCTCCCTTTCTCTCCTGCCTCCCCATCTACCCTTCCTCCCCATCTACCCTTCCTCCCCATCTACCCTTCCTCCCCATCTACCCTTCTTCCTCATCTACCCTTCCTCCCCATCTACCCTTCCTCCCCATCTACCCTTCTTCCTCATCTACCCTTCCTCCCCATCTACCCTTCCTCCCCATCTACCCTTCCTCCCCATCTACACTTCCTACCCATCTACCCTGCCCCCCCATCTCCCCTGCCTCACCATCTACCCTTCCTCCCCATCTACCCTTCTTCCTCATCTACCCTTCCTCCCCATCTACCCTTCCTCCCCATCTACCCTTCTTCCTCATCTACCCTTCCTCCCCATCTACCCTTCCTCCCCATCTACCCTTCCTCCCCATCTACACTTCCTACCCATCTACCCTGCCCCCCCATCTCCCCTGCCTCACCATCTACCCTTCCTCCCCATCTCCTCTGCCTCCCCATCTCCCATTCCTCACTTCTGGGTTTTTTTCCATTCCCATTCTGTGAGTGCAGGTCTTCTAACTCCCTTCTTCAAGTGCAGCACATTATATGCCTGCAGTCCCCTCTGTCCCTCCGCAGGGTACAAAGTTTGGAGCGGACGTTAGGTCTCTATAGCATGGGTTCATGGGGCAGTTCGCAGAGTTGCCTAAATCCAGAAGCCTAACTCGGCTTCGTTAGTTAGTTAGTTTGTTATGTTTAGGAAAAAACGCAATGAACGTTTAGTTAAAACTATTCGTGATATGCACTTTTGGTTTATCTGTTTGTTTGCATTCTCATCACATTTGTTTAGGGGCATCAGGTCTTGTTACAACTGTTACCTTCTTTTGGGAGTCATGTATGGAAGGCACATTTCGAAGCTGCAATCTGGACTCGATTCAGTACTCTCATTTCTGGGTAAGGCGCAGTTCGGGGTGCAGCATCGAGTGACCATCTGGCCAATTTCCAGGGAGAGAACACGCCCCGAGCTCAATTATGCTCCCTGCGATTCACGTCGCCTGTGGATTCGCAAATGGGTCGTTGATGATTGTCGCAATCCCTTTCACTCGCTTTTCATGCGCTTTCGGCCATTTCACTCTTTCACGATGCCCATAAATTGCACTTCCACTCGTTTTATGCGTTTCAAAATATTACAGGAGTGCCCAACTTCAAGGGGGGCTCTCTTGAACTCCCCCTTGGTAATTTTAGACTGGGGCTTTAACGGCTCAGGCACGGAGTCAAAAATACCACCTGACTGACATGACATATCTCACTAAAAGCATACGAAACAGGAGAGCTAAATCCAGGCCACATCACAAACCCATCCTGTACCATGGCATTGTAACATCTTCAAGTAGTGTCCTAGATCAGCATAAAATTTTGTACAGCATCCCACGAAACAACCACCGGTCAACAGCTCGTCCCATTGACAGCAGAATTGTCTATGCTTCCTTGTGCATCTTCCCCTTCGCCCCCACCTTGAATGGTAGCACCTCCATCACCAGCACCACCAACATCACCATCACCAGCACCAACACCAACATCAGCAGCAGCGTCACCACCACCAACAGCAGCAGCAGCGTCACCAGCAGCAGCAGCAGCAGCAGGTTCCGACTCCTGCTGCACGAGCCCATTCTCCTCCCCCATTTCCTCCTCTTTATCCGTCCTCTCTGCCTCCAGCAACTTCATCTTCTTGAACTCGTCGTAGTGCCGCTTCCTGTGCTCCCTGAAGCTCTGCGCCACACTCCCCATCGGCTCCTTCCCCTTGCCCTTGTCCCGCCCTGTACTGTAGTATATGTTGGCATCTAGTGGAAAGAGGAGGGGGGGGGATAGCGGAAAGAAGGGGGTGAGGGGTGGGGGGAGTGGAAGAAAGGGCAAACTGAGACTGAATAATGGGAAGTGGAGGTTCATACGAGGGGGGGGGTGAGAGGGGGGGAGGGGGGGTTGTAAGCAGCAGCAGCAGAGAGGGAGAGGACGAGGGAGAGGACGAGGGAGAGGACGAGGGAGAGGACGAGGGAGAGGACGAGGGAGAGGACGAGGGAGAGGACGAGGGAGAGGACGAGGGAGAGGACGAGGGAGAGGACGAGGGAGAGGACGAGGAGAGGACGAGGGAGAGGACGAGGGAGAGGACGAGGGAGAGGACGAGGGAGAGGACGAGGGAGAGGACGAGGGAGAGGACGAGGGAGAGGACGAGGGAGAGGACGAGGGAGAGGACGAGGGAGAGGACGAGGGAGAGGACGAGGGAGAGGACGAGGGAGAGGACGAGGGAGAGGACGAGGGAGAGGACGAGGGAGAGGACGAGGGAGAGGACGAGGGAGAGGACGAGGGAGAGGACGAGGGAGAGGACGAGGGAGAGGACGAGGGAGAGGACGAGGGAGAGGACGAGGGAGAGGACGAGGGAGAGGACGAGGGAAGGGATTGACACTGTTGGTGGCACTGTTGGTGCCACTGTTGGTGGCGCTGTTGGTGAAAAGTGACAGGGGAGAGGACGAGGGATTGACACTGTTGGTGGCGCTGTGGCAGCTGAACATTCTCCAATGTGCCTCTCAAGGCGCCAGAAATCCACTGAGCACGCCCCCCATTATCGCCGTGAGGCAAGTTATCAGCACGTACCAAGCAGGGAGGCTGGAGCAGTGCCGGCAGCAACAGCAGCAGCGAGAGTTGCAGAGTCTTTGTACGTATGGCCTTGCTCCTCCATCCATCCTGCCATATTAGGGGGATGCAGCAATGCCCATGGTTGCTGTTGGAAATGGCAGAGGCTGGGGGGCAGCTAGACACTGACCAATTTTAGTTGGTAACAATTCTAGCAGCAGACGATTCAACTCTATAATGAGAATCGGCAAATCTTAACATCATCAATCCTATTGGACGAAAAGGCACGAATCGGTAAGATCTTCAAAGTGCCACCGTCTTGCAAGCTCAGACCAGAGCAGGTGTCATCAGTTTCCTAAAGCAAAAACCTGACGCCTGTGCGCCAAACTCGGCTTGGTATATCAGATGTCCAATCATAGCACGGGCGGAGAGAAAAAGCAGGGAGAGGGTGGAAGGTGCAGGGCAGGGCATGGCATTGCGGCGTGGCAACGTACGTTCGAACTCTGAGTGATCGCCTTCATCCTCCGATGACGTCCACTCACTCACTCGACTGCTCCCACCCACACACGCCGCCGCTCCCCCACTTTCACCTGCGGATGGCCCTGCTGCTGCGCTGCTTCCTGGAAGGTGCTCTGGCGGAGGGGACCAAACGGGGATGAGAGGGGAGCGGAGGGAGAGAATAAGGACGGAACTGGATTGAAGGGAGAAAGCAGAGAGATGATCAACCAATCACCGGTACTACTACCACCCTCCTCTAATTCCTCTACCAACCACCCACTGCCCTGCTAACTAACCTTCCTCCGAGTCGGGCCCCAGGGTGTGGAACGGCGTCTTGGGCTCGTCGATGCGCTGACGTGGCGTCTTGTGCTCCTCCCAGTACGCCAGGTTGCCCTCGTCCCACTGCACGCGCCGCCGGCTGGCGGGGGAGAGAGGGGGGAGAGGGGGCGGGGAGAGAGGGGGGGGAGGAGGCGGGGAGAGAGAGAGGGGGGGAACTTTTCAGTCGACTCTAAAGTACGCCAGGTTGCCCTCGTCCCACTGCACGCGCCGCCGCCTGCGGCGGGAGAGAGGGGGGAGAGGGGAGAGGGGGGAGAGGGGAGAGGGGGGAGAGGGGAGAGGGGAGAGGGGGTGAGAGGGGGGGGGAGCGAGACAGCGTGCAAGAAAGGAAGGACGGGGGTAAAAGAGGAGGGGGCCGTGGGGACAATACGGTTTTGTGAGAGTTCGTTGACCCAGCTTTGATAACCCCTCCCCCATTCCTCCCCTTTCAGGCCCCTCCGCCCACCCACCCCCCCCTCCCTCCCCCCACCCCACCGGAATTCATAATCGTTTCGTATTTCTTTCGAGTACCTCATCCCAATACCCCCCCCATCCGCTTATTCCGCTCGCATAGCCAATTTCCATCCCCACGTACCGTGCCTTCTTCTTCTTGCCCTGCCCGCCCATCCCATCCTGAGCCCCCGTCTTCTCCTCACCCGCCGCCGCCCCTCCCGCCGCCTTTTCCGCCGGAGCTTGCGCCTCAGATGCGCCTCCATCACCGCCGCCGGCTGCGCCGCTGCTTCCCCCCCCAACCGGAGCAGTATCAGCGCCCTCTCCCCCCTCCTCCCGGGACCGCTTAGCAGGCGGAACCGGTACCTCGGCTGTTTCCGCCCCCGCTTGCGGCGCCGTTCGTTCTTCCCCTACTGCCGGGGCCCCCTCCGCTGCTGGCGGCGGGGCTTCCGCCGCATTTTCCGGAGCGAGAGGAGTTCTCCCCTCGTCGCCCGCTAACTTTGCAGCTCCCGCTGCCCCTTCCGCCTTGTCTCCCGCCATATTTCCGCCCTCCGCCTCCGCGGCTGCGGAAACGTTTGTATGCTCCTCCGCTCCGGTTCCCTCCGACATTAATCCCTGCAAATTCCCCCCCTCACTTGCTTTCTCCGTGGCTTCCCTTTCGCAAGACCTGAGAAGCGGTTCGAACTCCTCAATACCCTTCCTTTCTCCCTCCCCCCCAAAAGCGGTTCGAACAACTCGAACCCTCCGTACTCAAAAGGCCCGAATTTACTCCAGCGAGGCAAGAAATATGGTGTTTTTGACGGTACCAGAACGCAGGCTTACGATCCGAAAATGATTGAGAGGATAAAAATGCAAAATGTTTCGACCACTTGATCGGGCGGTTCAGATTCACAGGCACTGATCACGGTGAATTAGTAAGCGCGCAATAGAAGTGCTAAAGAAGTAAATCATGGGGGTTTTGGGTGATCTAGCAACGTGTGGTGGTGGTTGCTCGGGGGGGGGGAGGAGGGTGGGGGGGGTGGGGGTGGGGGCGGCGGGGGAAGGGGGCGGGGGGAAAGGAGAGATGCTGGGGAAATTTCATCGCTAGTGAGTGCTTCAAGCTAGCGAGGAAGGTTTTTATCTCCAGCCAACTTTCCATTCCGACCAAGTTCATGGCAGGTGTCTACAGTGCTTGGTCCGTGTAGGGTAACAAGCTCCCAGCGCCGGCTTCCACATTATCCGTGTCAGCCTCACAGCTTTCCATGTCATGCCAGGTTGGTTTTTGTGAATGCCAGCGATGTCGCCATCCTGTCAGCACGGCACGATAGCGGGCCGAATTTACCGCCTACAAATTGGCGGCTCGGCGCGGATGGACGATGGGCGAAACACCGAAATTTCCCCCAGGAGACAGAAAAGAAAATAGGAGCCTCGCGTTCCGTTGCAAGGTGGAAGGGATGTTTAACCAGCAAAGGCACTCGATCCCTGGTGTTTACCTAATTCTGTAGCCAACTTTCGGAATGAAACGCATGCACGCCACACTAAACTTTACTACCAATCCTCCCACTCTCGAAAATACTTATGTTTGAGGCATTCTAAAAGCCGAATACCGAAGCCAGCCCTCCTTCGAAATCGTAACACCCCAACAAACACCCACCGTAAAATCTCCTAGGCATTCAATTCAAGAATTGGGTTCTAGCTGTCAACGAGTCCCTCGGACCATGCATGCAAATAAATTCGCCCCACACATCGCCTCGTCACCCTAACCAGCGCTCACCAGCACGTCCACTACTGCCACGCTACGCCCTATCTTGGCTCCAACGCGCGCAGCCGACCGCAAAGACGTCGAATAAAGAAACACCGAACCAGATTCTTCCGGAGATCCTTCCAGACACGTTCTTCTGCAGCGCCGTAACTCGCTGGTATAACACGCTGGTCTCCGCACGAAGTAACTCTCCACATCAGACTCTCGCTGTGCACAGCAAGAGTAGAATCTCCGTCTCCGATCTCCCACTCCATACTCTCCTCGAAAGAGATTGTCATCGCTTTGTGAGCAACATCCCGCTAGTTCCCGTCCCCTAGCCTAGAATCGTCTCACGTCTCTTAGCAGCAAAGATCGCACTGACGACCAACTCTTACACCTCTTGCGAAGTGGACGAGTTTGTTTGTAGAGAGAGCAGCTTGCGTGAAGCACGACTTGTTCCTATATCGCAGATCCGTCTTCACCGTTTACAGTAGTAGAATGCTTGTCCCTGCATCGTAGCTGAGTCGGCTCGTCTTCCACTCTACAGGGGTTTAACAAAGACAACTTACCAGCATCCAGCAGAGTCTTTCACTTTCCACTCCTGTGCACAAACTTGAGTGAATCACCAAGCGGTCTTTGTACTCGTTATTGAGAAGGCATCATACCTATATCGAGGGTCGAACATGGATTCTGCCAAGACTGCACCAGCAGTGGCTGCCAACGGGAATCCGCCAGCCATGGGCGCGCTCGCCCCTCCCAGGGCCGCTATCCAACAGGATAGAGCCTCGGCCGTTGCAGAGATTTCTCTAGTTGATTCGCACCCCCATCCCGCTGCTACTACCACCACTAGTGGTACCAATTCCGCAGGAGGCGCTGCCGCGCGCAAGCCTGCAAAGCTGTTTCGACAACCGAGCCGAGTGACGGAGCGCATGGCCAACTGCCTGCTGGAGAACCGCAACGAGATCATCGACACTCTCTCGCGGTAAGCAAATGAGTGAGATAGAGTGCTTGTCAGGGGACTTTCTATGGGAGGAGATGTGAGGAAGAGATCCTCTATTATTTCTACTCCATCCTCATTCCAGTTGGTTTTCTTTGGTGTTAATCCACACCCGGGCCCTCCCTTTTTTCCAAATCCCCTCTCCCTCCGCTGCAGCTGCTTGCAGTGCGGGAATGGCATTCTCCTCCCCCACCAGCTCATAGACCAGCTTCGCGCAGCCAGCGCCGCGCGCCGCCGCCCCCTCCTCACCCCCCCGCGCTCCCCCCACACAGCCGCGTCTCCGCGCTCCCCCGCCTCGATCGTCACCGCAGCCGCATGGGGGGGCGCGGGGGGAGCAGCAGGCGGAGCAGGGGGCGCGCTTATCCCCGCAGATGAGGAAACGGCCAAGGTGCTTGAGGGGACGGTGGAGGCGGTGCGGAGAGTGGGCTCCACGGATCTAGAGAGGGGGGGGAAGGCGGGGAGGAAAACAGGCGCAGGCGCAGGGGCAGGGGCAGGGGAAGGGGGAACGATCGGGGCGGGGGCAGTGGTGGAGGGGGACGAGGAGGGGGAGGGGGAGGAGAGCTTGGAGGACAGTCCGTTTGGGAAGCTGCTACTGGCTTCGCAGGAGGCGGTGGTGGTGTCGCCGTGGGTGGCGCTGGCGGTGCGCGTGCGGCCGGGCGAGTGGCAGCATGTGAAGATCAACGCAGAGGAGGTGCTGGTGCAGGCCATGACTGTGCCCGAGTACCTGGCGTTCAAAGAGCTGCTGGTTTCTACCAACGGGTCAGTCTGTCAGTCACTGCTCTTGCATGCCAGTGTCTGAAGCGCCTCTCCTTACAGGAGGTGCTGGTGCAGGCCATGACTGTGCCCGAGTACATGGCGTTCAAGGAACTGCTCGTGTCCACGAATGGGTGAGTGTCAGTCACTGCTCTTGCGTGCCTGGTCTTGGGGCGCGTCAAGGGAGGTGCTCTGGTGCAGGCCATGACAGTGCCACTGCTTTGCTTGCGTGTTTTTTGCGTGTCTCAAACCCCCAAACCCGTCCCCCTCCCCCCCCACCCACAGCCCCCTTCCAGAGGCCCGTCCAGCAACGACCTGTACGTTCCTCCTTCCCCCTCTCCCCCCGCCCCCTTCCCCCCAGAGGCCCGTCCAGCGAGAACCCGTAATATGTGCTGGAGCTGGACTTCGGTCCGTTCAACGGCTCATCCCCCCTCCTCCCCTCTCCCTGCCTCCCCCCCCTCCCCCCCTGGCCCTTCCCAGAGGCCCGTCCAGCGATAACCCGTACTACGTGCTGGAGCTGGACTTCGGGCCATTCAACGCGTCGTTCCCCCTCCCCCTCTCTCCCCCCCTTTTCCAGAGGCCCGTCCAGCGACAACCCCTACTACGTGCTGGAACTAGACTTTGAGCCGTTCAACGCGTCGTTCCCGCGGCTGACACAGCCGCGGTCCATCGGGCACGGCGTGCACTTCCTAAACCGCTACCTGTCGTCGCGCATCTTCGCCAGCCAGCAGGGCTCCATCCAGCCGCTCGTCGACTTCCTGCGCCTCCACAGCTACAGGGGGCAGGTAGGCGGACGGAAAGGGGAGAGGTGGGGGGTGGGGGGGTGGGGGGGTGGGGGGTATCGGGTTTAAGGCGGTTATGAGGAGGGAGGTGGGGTTTGAACGTGCACTGAGAGGCGGCTATAAGGCAGTTCGGGAAGGGGGATGCTCGGGCCTTGGTCTGCAGGTCTTTGGGGGATTGCAGTTGAGACCTTGCGGGTTGCTTGCTTGGCTGTGCGGTGGTTGGGTGGTTGGGTGGTTGGGTGGTTGGGTGGTTGGGTGGTTGGGTGGTTGGGTGGTTGGGTGGTTGGGTGGTTGGGTGCTTGGGTGCTTGGGTGGCTGGGTGGCTGGGTGGCTGGGTGGCTGGGTGGCTGGGTGGTTGGGTGGTTGGGTGGTTGGGTGGTTGGGTGGTTGGGTGGCTGGGTGGCTGGGTGGCTGGGTGGTTGGGTGGTTGGGTGGCTGGGTGGCTGGGTGGCTGGGTGGTTGGGTGGTTGGCTAAGGGAGGGGGAGAAAAGGGCAGGGGGGAAGGATGGAGTGAAGGGGCGGATGTGGCAGGCGAGGAAGGCCAATGGGAAGAATGGACAACAGAACGATATTGACCCAGACGCAAACCTACGATCGTTCCACCTATGGCCTCTGTCCCATGGCCTCGTGTGTAATCAATGAGCCTGGTTCATCGCTGATCAGTGATGAATCTGTAATGTGTCAACAACAACAGACTCATTTCACACGTTCCACCTATGCCCTCTTTCCCCTCGCCCCTGCCACTGACATCCCATCCCAATGATCGTCCCCCCCCACCCACTTACTCACTTGTAGGTACTTCCTCGTTTGCCGAATTCTCCTATGACTGTCCCCTCCCCGAGCCGTTGATGCTGTTTGAGTCGACTCAAAAAGTCCCCCCGAGCATGCCGCTGCTCTTGAGGCGCCTCAGAAATAGACTCCTGTGCACTGTGCACATCCCCTCCCTCCCCCAGCCGTTGATGCTGAGTCCGCAGATCGAGACACGCGAGCAGCTGAAACGCGCGCTGACGCGTGCGGAGGACGTGCTGTCGTCATACGATGACGAGACTGCTGTTGGACACGTGGCAGAGAGGTGTGACACGTGGCATGTAGCCGGGGCATGTGGCAGAAGGATGGGACACGGGGAAGAGCGAGAGAGAGGGATTTAGGGTGTACCCAGGTTTCAGCAATATAAGAACCGCATGAGAGAGGGATCTACTCCAAACCCTGGGCGGGGGGGGGGGGGTAGGTAACTGGTGGGCATAGGGGTCTCAAAGGGTGCTTGTGTCGCGCTCTCGGATGTTCCTGCTACCCCTTGCCTGTTCCCGCTGGCGAACCTACGACTTACTTCCTCTTTCCCTGCACTGCAGGCTGCGGGACGTGGGGTTGGAGCTGGGGTGGGGCAACACAGTGGGGCGCATCTCCGAGACAATCTGCCTGCTGCTCGACATCTTCCAGGTGCTGCTCGCTGCTGCCTCCCGCCTTCACTTTGCACCATCACTCCCCCCTCCCCCCCCAACCCCCCCGCCCCCCGCGCCCCCCTCCCTCCTCCTCCATCCCCTCCCCATGGCCCCCCTGTCAATGACCCTTCCACATCTCTGCGCCTCCACAACCCCCACATTTCCCCCCTTAGCTGTACTTCCTTCGCACCCCGTCAAACCTGTTGGGTGATGTCACTGAAGTCACTGACTCACTGCCCCCACACCAGGCAGGCAACAGATGCTGACTCCCCCCCTTTTTCTTCTCCCGCTCTCGCCTTTTCTTGCCTCTGGAACAACGAAGTCCATAATCCCTATATTTCCCCAACCCCTCCTCACCCCCCCCCCCAACCCACCTTGCCCAAAGCTTACAAGATATGTTAGATGCTGACACTCTGGAGAAGTTTCTCAGGCGACTCCCCACCCCCCAACCACCCCCCAACTACCCCCCAACTACCACCAGGCCCCGGATGCCGACACTCTAGAGAAATTTCTCGGGCGGCTGCCCATGATCTTCGACGTGGTCATCCTGTCGCCGCACGGGTACTTCGGGCAGGCAAACGTTTTGGGGCTGCCCGACACAGGCGGGCAGGTGGTGTACATTCTGGACCAGGTGCGCGCGCTGGAGAAGGAGATGCTGCGGACGCTGCACCTGCAGGGGCTCGACTCGCTCTTCCACCCGAATATCGTGATTGTGAGTGGGTTCTGTCAGTCAGTTGGGGGAGTTGGGAAGGGGTCGGGGAGGGGAATTTGATGGGTGTGCGTGTGTGGGGCAGGTGGTGTACATCGTGGACCAGGTGCGCTTTTGAGTCGACTCAAACGCATCCGGGACCATCCCTTCCCTCCCTTATCTAAACCCCCTTCCTCTCTCCCCCCACCCGTCCTTCCCCCCTACCAACCCTCCCTTCTCTTCTCCCCAGGTGACGCGCCTCATCCCCGAGGCGCGTGGCACGACGTGCAACCAGCGCATAGAGGCAGTGGCGGGCACGCAGTTCACGCGCATCCTGCGCGTGCCCTTCCGCACGCCGCACGGCGTCGTCAAGCGCTGGGTCTCGCGCTTCGACATCTGGCCGTACCTCGAGCAGTTCACCGAGGTGAGGGGTGCATGCCAGGGGGAGGGGGGGAGGGGGGAAGGGGGAAGGAAGGGGGGGGGAGGAGGGGATAGGAGTACGTTCTTTAGGCGGCCCAAAAAGAGGCTGGGTCTCCTGCCTCGACATCTGGCCGTACCTCGAGCAGTTCACTGAGGTGAGCAGTGCAACTGGGGGGGGAGACGGGATTCGAGGCATCTGAAAACCCTACTCCGCGCAGTTCACCGAGGTGACCCCTGCAGCCAGGGAAGAGGGGAGGGAGGGGAGGCGAAGGGAGGGGAGGGGAGGGGAGGGGAGGGGAAGGGAGGAGAGGGGAGAGGGGGTTTGGAAGGGGGAGGGAAGTTCCAGGGCTCTCAGTTGTCAGTGGTAGCTACATGCGTCGTGACCAGGTTCCGTGCCCCAAACCCCATGCACCGAACCCCGCGTTCCAAACCCCGTGCCTTCCCCCCCCCAGGACGTGGCGAAGGAGCTGCAGGTGGAGCTGGGGGGGCGCCCGGGGCTCATCATCGGCAACTACAGCGACGGTAACCTCGTCGCCACGCTGCTCTCGCACCAGATGGGCGTCACGCAGGTGGGCGGCACACAGGTGGGCGGCACGCAGGTGGGCGGCACACAGGTGGGCGTCATGCAGGTGGGCGACACGCAGGTTGGTGGCACGCAGGTGGGCAGCATGCAGGTGGGCGGCACTCAGGTGGGCGGCACTCAGGTGGGCGGCACTCAGGTGGGTCATTGATGCTCAGGTGGGTGGGAGTGGAGCCCTGGCTCTGTTGCCAAGGGATCGGGAGAAGGGGATTGTCGAGGGGATGGGAAATAGAGGGAGAAGGGGACGCTGAGGGTAGGGTGGGGTGGGTGGGGTGGGGTGGGATGGGGTGGAGGAGCAGGAAAGTGGAGGAGTGCGGGATAAAGGCATATAGTGAGGGAGCATATAGTATTTCAGCTGCCAGTCACCTGCCACGTGCCGGGACTGCTCAGGTGACGACACACCAGACTGTGACCTCCAAGGTTGCAGCTCAGAAGACCATCTACTCGGACTGCTTGCTTCAGGTCCCTCCCTGTCCCCAACCCCCCCACCCACCACCTCGCCCCCCACCCTCGCCCTTCCCACCTCGCCTTCCTTGGCAATGCGGCATCGCACACGCTCTAGAGAAGACCCAGCACCCGACTCTACACCTCCCACTCTAAACCCTGTCCTCCTTCCGCCCCCCACCCCACCCCCCCACCCCCCCATTTCCCTGTTTTTTCCCTATAGTGCAACCTAGCGCATGCACTAGACAAGACCAAGTACCACACCTTGGACCTGCGCTCCACATTCTAAACCTCAAGCCTCTCCCCTCCCTCCTCCCCAACTCCCACTCCCCCCAAACACGCGCAGTGCAACGTAGCGCACACGCTGGAGAAGACCAAGTACCCGGACTCGGACCTGTTCCGCCCCACACAAAACCTCACACTTCCCCCCACCCCCCTTCCACAAGCGCAGTGCAACATCGCGCATGCGCTGGAGAAGACCAAGTACCCGGACTCGGACCTGTTCTGGCAGCGGCACGACGCGGCGTACCACTTCAGCTGCCAGTTCACGGCCGACCTCATCGCCATGAACCATGCCGACTTCATCGTCACCAGCACCTTCCAGGAGATCGCCGGCAGGTGCGGGGATGATTGGGGGGGGTGGGGGTGGGGGTGGGGGTGGGGGTGGGGGTGGGGGTGGGGGTGGGGGGGAGGAGGGTAGTCGGGATGGGTTTGAGGGTGGTTCATGGCAATGAGGCCCCAGACTGCTTCTAGCCTCATCGCCGTGAACCATGCCGACTTCATCGTCACCAGCACCTTCCAGGAGATCGCCGGCAAATGCGGGGATGATTGGGGGGGTCGTGTGGGGATGGTTTGGGGAGAGTGAGGGGGGATGTGGGTGGGGATGGTGTGGATTGAGGGGTTGCAGGGTGCATGCAGCCGCATCACCGCGACCCACGCTGTCTGCGCTGCATGAGGAGTCTACTTTTGACGCGCCTCAAAAATGAAGTCACCGCGACCCACGCTGTCTGCATGGCACACGAGCACGTTCCAGGGGACTGCTGGGAGGTGGGCGGGGGAAGTTGAAGGGTACGGAGGAATGTTCAGGTGCCGGGGTAAAGGGGGGGGAAGACCGGGGGAGGTGGGGAGGGAGCGGGGGGGGGGGGGGAGAGTGGACATGCTGTGCACGAGCGATGTGAGGACATGGCTCCGTGCAAGAGTGTGAAGACTAAGGTTGCTGGGCAGTACAAGACACGTTGCACCCCCGTCCAGCCCTTCCCCCCCTCTCGCCCCCCTGTGCCCCACCCTTCCCCCAAGCCCATCCGCCCCTTCTGACTTATCCCACCCTTCCCCCCGTCCCACCCCCCCCCCCCCCCGATCCCCCCGCCCTCCCCCCAGCCTCTCCTCGAACACCGTCGGGCAGTACGAGTCACACATGGCGTTCACGATGCCGGGGCTGTACCGCGTGGTGAACGGGGTCGACGTGTACGACCCCAAGTTCAACATCGTGTCGCCGGGCGCCGACGACGACGTCTACTTCCCCTTCAGCGACGACAAGCGACGCCTCACGTCGCTGCAGCCCGCCATCCGCGACCTGCTGTTCGGGGAGCCCGACGGCGAGGAGAAGGCGTGAGTTGGGGGTTTTGGGGGGGGGGAGGGGGGGGGAGGGGGAGAGGAAAGAAGAATGGGGAGGGTGGGGGAGGGCGGAGGGCCTGGGGGGGAGTGGCTGGATCGTTGCAGCCCGCCATCCGCGATCTGCTGTTTGGCGAGCCCGATGGCGAGGAGAAGGCGTGAGTTGGGGGGGCGGCTGGGGAGGCGTTGGGTTGCTCCGGGCAATTTTTGAGAATTCTCTAAAATCGTTGGGTTGCTCTGGGCACGGTGCTAGCTTCCTGGAGTCGATCATTCTGTGTGGTTGTAGTGTAGTAGCCGCACATATGCTGCGTCTGATGCATACGTGCGATACATACATGTGATGTCACGCGATGCAGGGACGCGTGCATGTTCAGACGTGCGTGCGTGCGTGCGAGCCCATGGGCTCGCCAACCACGATTAGTCGTTCTGACGCCTCCCCTAGTCACGCACGCGCACTCATATCGTCCCTCGCCGCCCCTTGAGACCCTCGTCGTGTTCTTCCCCACTCTTTCCCCTCTCCCACTCTTGGTGGGGGTGTTCTTGTTGGTGGGGCACTGGGATCGTCCTACAGTTGAGTGTGGGAGGGCTACAGGTCCATCCTGGGGGGTAATGGGTGCGCTACCCACCACAACAACATGCCCTTTTAACCCAGTCGGTAGCGGGCTGGGCCAACAGTTCTTCCCCTCCCCCACTCTTGGTGGGGGTGTTCTTCCCCGCCCCCACTCTTTCCCCGCCCCCACCACCCTTCCGCCCCACTCTCTCACCCCCGCTCTCTCCCTCCACTCCCCCCCCCCTCTCCCCCGCCCCCCCTCCCCCAGCTACCACCTGTCGGACCCCGCCAAGCCGATCCTCTTCTCCATGGCGCGCCTCGATCGCGTGAAGAACCTCTCGGGCCTCGTGCGCTGGTTCGCGGGCGACTCGCGCCTGCGCGCGCTCGCGAACCTCGTCGTCGTGGGCGGCAAGCTCGACGCGGCGCAGTCGCAGGACCGCGAGGAGGCGGAGCAGATCGCGCTCATGCACGCGATCGTGCGCGACGCGGGGCTCGACGGGAGCTTTAGATGGATCCGCGCGCAGACGAATAGGGTTAAGAACGGCGAGCTGTACCGCGTCGTTGCGGATAGTCGCGGGGCATTCGTGCAGGTGACTGGGGGGGGAGAGGGGGAGGAGGAGGGAGGAGGGGAGGGGGTGGGGGAAAGGGGAGGGAAGGGGAGGGAGGGGTGGGAAAAAGGGTGGAAGGGAGGGTGAGGGTATGTGGGGGGTGGGGAACCGGGGAATGGGGAGGGTTTTTGAGGAACCTATGGCTAATGAGGCAATCAAGCCACCAGCCAAGCCAACCCTCTCTCGCTTCCTACCTCAAACACTTGAATAACTCTTGCAAGCTTGAATGCCTCATGCAGCGCTTCTTTTATGCCTCGCCCTCTCACCCATCTCTTTCCCCCCATTCCCCCCACTTTGGCCCGGTCCTTTGCCCTTCTTTCCCCCCTCTTCCCCCCCTCCTCCCCCCCTCTTTCCCTGGTCTCTCGCCACCGCCGCCCCTCGTTCATTCAAATCTTGCCTCCTTCCCCTTCCGCCGCCCCCCTCCCCCTCCTTCCCCCTCCCAGCCGACTCACTTCACAAGGCATTCGGCTTGACAGTGGTTGAGGCCATCATGCATGCACCTCGCCTTCTCTCCCTCCCTCCCCCCGGTACCTGCTCCCTGAACCTCACATGTGACATATCACTTCCCATCGTCCTCTCTTCCCCCCCTCCTTTCCTCCCTCCCCCTTCCCCCCGTCCCCCCGGTCCCCCTTCCCCCCTTTCCCCTCCCTTCCCCGGTTCCCCTCTCCCCCAGACGGCGCTCTTCAAGTCATTCGGTCTGTCGGTGGTCGAGGCCATCACGTGCAGCCTCCCGACCTTCGCCACATGCCACGGGGGATCGCTCCCTTCCTCCACACCCTCCCCCCCCCTCCCTACAGACTCCCCCCCCCACCCACTTCCTCCCCTTCCCTCGCAAACTCCCCCCTCCCCCCCCCCCCCCCGCTCCCTTCCCCTTCCCCCTTACCCCCAGCCGGCTCTCTTTGAAGCATTCGGGCTGACGGTGGTGGAGGCCATGACGTGCGGGCTGCCCACCTTCGCCACGTGCCACGGCGGGCCGCGCGAGGTGATTCACGACGGCGAGAGTGGGTTCCACATTGACCCGTACCACGGCGAGCGCGCGGCGGAGCGGATGGCGGACTTCTTTGAGCGCTGCCGGGACGACCCCAGCCACTGGGAGACTGTTTCCGCTGCTGCGCTCGAGAGGATCCACTCCAGGTGGGGGGTTTGGGGAGAGGGTATGTATCTTTTACGCGCCTCTTATTGGGAGGCGCTTCTCTTTGTGAGGCGCTTAAAAATACACTTCAGGTGGGGGGACGGGGAGAGGGTATGTTTGGATGGGCCACCATCTATGCTACGCCAGCGCTGGTTAGGAAGGATCCACTTTTTGGGGGGAGGGTAAGGGGGTGTTGGCTACGTCTACCCGTGACATAAGTGATTCACGACAGCGAGAGCGGGTTCCGCATTGACCTGTACCACGGGGATTGCGCCGCGGGAAGGATAGCGGACTTTTTTTAGCAGTGCAGTGCAGAGAGGTTCCCAGCCACTGGGAGACTGTTTCTGCTGCCGCACTGGTGCGGATCCACTCCAGGTGTGCGGGAGGGGGCATGCTGCTTTCTGTACCTGTCTGTACCTGTGTGTAAATGCGTGCAGGCGTGTGTGGTGTTCCCCCCCTTCCCCCCCTCTTGCCCCATTTTTCTCCATCTCTCCTTCCCCCCCATCCCCCCCCCCGCAGCTGTCCCTTACACCCGGCAATCAAGTACACATGGGCCACCATCTGTGCTATGCCAGCGCACACCAGCACGCGCGAGCACACATCATTAGACACCTGCTCACATTAGCACACATGTCAGAGGAGTGGTTGACGACACTGTCACACATCCCTCCAATCTTCCCCCATTCTCCCCCCATTCTTCCCCCATGCATCCCCTCCCCCCCCGGCCCTTCCCCCCCCCCCCCCCCTCCAGGTACACGTGGGGCATCTACGCAGAGCGGCTGATGACGCTATCGCGCGTGTACGGCTTCTGGAAGTTTGTGTCGAACCTGGAGCGGCGGGAGATGAAGCGCTACATCGAGATGTTCTACATCCTCAAGTTCCGCCACCTCGTGAGTGGGGGGGAACGGGGGGGAGGAGAGGGGGGAGAGAGGTGGTTGTTGCGGGGAAAGGAGAGGGGAGGGTGAGGGAAGGGGAGGGGAGAGGCGAGGCGAGAGGGAGCTTGGGCTTGCGAGCGAGCTGCAGAGGGAGGGTTCTAGAAGTGAGCAGGCAGAGCAGCTGATGAGTGGTGAGGGACAGAGTGGTCTGTGCTCTGGGCTGAGCTCTTGCAGGTTTGTGTTGAACGGGGAGCGGCGGGAGATGAAGCGCTACATTGAGATGTTCTACATCCTCAAGTTCCGCCACCACCTGGTGAGTGCGGGGAAGGGGCTGCGCCACCTCATGAGTGCGGGGGGGGGGGGGGGGGGGGGGGTGTGGGGAGGGATGGGGGGTTGGATTCTTGGTAACATGTCATACCAAGCTCTTTTTTGCTTGAAGAGGTTCTTTCTATGTGCACATGTCGAGGGGGGTGGGGCGTGCAGCAGTGAGGCATGTCGTCTTATTGACATCCTGGGTTTCGCCTTCATGGGCTTGACGAGGGATTTACTGCTGCCTCTTTATTCTTGCTTCCGTGTTTGCTGCTGCTTCTTGCGTCCTCTCCTCTGTGTTGCTTCCTCCGCTTTCACCCATTCACCCATCCCTTCTTTCACTTTCTCCCTTCCATTTCTCCCCCTTCGCCTCGCCCCTTCCCCTGCACTCACATGGAGCTGCTCCCTCACGCATTTTGCTGCCTGAGTAGTCCTCTCATCTCCTCTGTCGTCCCTTTGCCTCCAACTCCTCACTTCTATCTCCTTGCTTTCTTCCCCCACCCCTGTGTACTCCCCACCCCTCTCGATCTCTCTTCCCCCCCACACGAATGTATGGCAGGTGAAGTCCGTTCCGTTGGCAGAGGAGGGTGGAAGGGAATGACACTGTGGAGGGATAACATAACACAAGGGTGGCTAGCATGTGTGTTACGGCACCTTTCTGAGATAATTTCTTGGCATGTGTAGTGTGGGAATGTCCATCGTGTAAACATTTTCCTCACTAGCTGAAACAGGAGGAATTGATAGCCAGAAATAGGTGTTAGAATACGAGAATAAATTACTAGAAGGGGAAACATAGAACATTTACCTCTTGGGGTTGTACACCTAGAAGCATACACCTAGGTTAGCCTATAACTTCTACATATAGCATATGTATAAGTTGACACACCCCCTAAGCTCGTGTAGGCTGTCCTGAAGAAAAGCAGTAGAGAAGTCGAGGGAGTGAAGCTCATAGTCGCGCTGAGTTGCTATGCGTAGCAGCGCCCGAAGAGTAGTCATCTTTCGATTCGGGGCGAAGGTCCGGAAGAAGTCCACCCCCTCGCGCTGGCTGAAGCCTCTAGCCACGTAGCGCGCCTTCAACACAGGCGGCTCCCCAGGGGAGAGCTTCACCTTGCACAGCCACCAACCATCCACTACGTTCACCCCAGGAGGGGGAACTGCGTCGACGTAAGTGCCGATGGACCTCCAAGATGCCATCTCCTGCTCCATAACCACTATCCACTGAGAGGCCCAGGGTCCCGAGGTGGCCTCAGCGTAGGTACGAGGGGTCGGGATGTCGAAGGCGTCTGGGTCACCCTCTGGGACTAGGAGCATGGAGCAGAGATGGGGAGCGGCCTCGGAAAGGAAAGCAAGCTCGTATTGCCTATCCTCGAGAACGTCACTGCCAAGGGCAGGTGCACCCCCGACGGACGGAGGACGGGCAGGGTCAGAGACCAGAGCGGTAGCGTAGTCAAGGCGGTGGGTAGAGGCGAAGTAAGCGACAGCATCGACAAGCGTGTCAAGGCGCGAGACAGGAACAGACGGGTCTGTAACAAGAGAGGCAAGAACCCGAGGGACAAGGGGACGAGCGGCACGGAGGTAGTCAGACAGCGGGGGAGGTGCAACAACAAGCGACGAGGGAGGAGGCAACGGGAGGAGGGGAGGACGAGACTAGTGGGAACGGAGCAACATAGGGTGGGAGCGCAGGACAGGAGAGACAGGACGAGCACGAGAGGGACAGCGAGACCAAACGTGGGACGGAGGTGTAGGGTCAGGAGAAAGCGGAGGGGACAGAAGAGGGGAACGAGGAGGAAGACGGGCCGGAGACGAGTCCGGCGGCGGGAACACAGGGCCGTAGACTGGAAGGTGAGGAGGTGGCGGGGGAGACACCGGCGAGCGGTCAGGGGAGGGAAGGCCGAGCAGGCGAAGAGCACAGACTGGCTGCGACGGCTGCTGCGGTGGCTGGTGCTCGACCCCCGGACCGGCAGAGGCACGACGACCGCCGGGAGAACACTCAAGGGCGGCACCCCCAGAACCAACACCCCCAGAGTGAGAACTCCCTTCAGCACCCCCAGGCCCGCCGGGACAGACCACGCCAGGGGCCGCAGGACGAACACCCTCCTCAACGCCAGCATCCCAAGAGGCCAAGCGCGGCAGCGGCGGCGGCGGCGGCGACGGCTGCGATGGCAGCGGCAGCGACGGCGAAAGCGGGGGTGGAGACACCGGGGAAAGGGGACGCGGTAAGGACGGGCCGGGGGATCCACCAGAGTCAGCAGACTCCTCAACAGGGACAACCGACGGGAGGGGAGTGACATGAGAGACACCAGACGGGGCACGACGAGGCGGGAGGGGAGCAGGGGCTACCGGGGGGGAGGGAGCAAGGAACAGGGGTGGGGAAACCAGGAGACCTCGGTGAGGGAAGCGATGGTAGAAGGAGACGGACTCGTCAAAGGTGACGTCACGAGAGTGAAGGAAGCGGTGAGACGGCGGGTGGTAGAAAAGCCAGTCAGACGAGTCCAGGGGGAAACCGAGGAAGACGCAGGGGGACAGTGCGGGCAGTGAGCTTGTCCGTGCCAGAGGCACGAACATGAGCAAGGCAACCCCAGACGTGGAACGCTGAGGGGTCGCAGTGGTGACCGCAGCCGAAACGTCAGTAAACGTGCACTGGGAGGGGGCACAGCCGTGAAAGATAGAGACTGTCGGTGCACCGCTCGACTGAGCGATAGTGCGCTGGCGAGTCTCGATCTCGGTGAGGGTGTCGACAAAGGCGGTCAAGGTGAGGTCACCCGGGTGCTGGCTGAGGAAGCGGTCGCGTGAACTAGCTAGGCGGTCCGGCAGGCGCATGGCGATAAAATAGAGCGTCATGCAGAATGGGGGGGGGAGCGGAGTGAGCTGGGCAGCAGTGCTGGCGGTGCGATAGCGAGACTCTAGAGCGCGCAAGTGAGTGGCAAAGTCTGCAACAGTAAGGAAGGCAGCAAGGTCTGGGAACAGCATCGGGAAGAGCAAGTGGCCGGCAGAAGCGGAGGCACGCGTGGAATACCGACACAACATCGTCTAAGTAAGCTTTGGGAGTATCAACCGTAGCAAAACGCGAGCGCTCAGACACAGGGAGGGCGTGACTGATAGCAAACTGAGCTACTGCATCGCGAGAGTCCCAGACCGCACAGGCAAGCGCAGCAGCAGAGAAAGCCTCACTCTCAGTAGAGATGGGGTCAGTAGGCAGGGGAGCAGGTGCAGGGGGGCAGGGGAGCAAGCCATCAGGACTGCCCATCCTGTCGCTGACCTGTAGGCTGACGGCGGAGATCGGAGAGCCAGGAGGCGAAGTCAACTGCGTGGCCCTCAGTGTCCAGTCGGAGCATGAAGTCAGCCATCGTGCAGGGTCAGCGACACAGCTCCGCAGCGACACAGCGGCACAGGTCTACAGCTCCGTAGGAGCACAGCGGCACGGGGACACGGCGGCAGCACTCTCCAGTAGGGCGGGTGCGAGACGCTCCAGCGTGGGCGAGTAGAGGACACAGGGCTCGCTGTGGCGCGACAGGCCGAGCAGGCACGAGGAGGGGCCGGGCGGGCAGTAGGAGGGGCCGGGCTGGCACTGGGAGCCGGGCAGGCACGACGGGGCCGGGCTGGCGCGAAAGGACGGGCGGGCGTGAGGAGCCGGGCGGGCGCTAAGAGGCGCTGGGCAGGCGTTACTGGGGTCGGGCGGGCTCTAGGAAGGGGCCAGGCCGGCAGTCGAAGGGCCGGGTGGGAGCTAGGAGGGGCCGAGCGGGCGCGACAGGGCCGGGCGGGCACGTAAGGGGCCGGGCGGGCGCGAAAGGAGCCGGGCGGGTGTGGAAGGGGTTGGGCGGGCGCATAAGGGGCTGGGCGGGCGCGTAAGGGGCCGGGCGCGCGCTACGGGCTGGGCGGGCGCTAAGGGCGGGCGCGGAAGGGGCCGGGCGGCCGTGAGAGGGCCGGGCGTGCGCTACGGGCCAGGCGGGCGTTAAGGGCCGGGCGGGCGCTAGAGGCTAGGGCGCGGGCGGAAGCGGGTGGGTGGACCTAACCTACGCGTGATACCAAGTTAGAATACGAGAATAAATTACTATAAGGGGAAACATAGAACATATACCTGTTGCGGTTGTACTTACTAGAAGCACACACCTAGGCTAGCCTATAACTTCTACATACATGTATAAGTTGACAATAGGTACCGTAAGGTTGGAGAGGGTGGTTGGGGTAGGCATGGTGGAGGCCCCACGACTGGTTTTAGGGTACCCTGATTGCTGAGTGTCAGGTTCCAGAAAAAAAACATTTCGTCAACCGCCTCAAGAAAATTTACGCTGATTCATTGGTGTTTCCTAGCAAAAGTTCGCTTTTCCATCAGGGTCGTGTACTAGAAACACGCCGACTTGGAGACAAGGAGAGAGGAATTCACATTTTGCTAGTTGCGTTCGAATAAGAGTAAATTCCGCATTCTAATTGTTGTGACAAAATCGTACTGAAGCATTTCTGTAAGTAGGTCTGATAGATATTCTCGTGTTACACTGTAGTTACCATCCATAGAATGACGTCAGCAAATAGCGCTCGTCTGGATGATTACGTCAGCAAGCCGTTTCAGTCACGCGAACAGTCGCGCTCTTTTCAATACCGGTTAGAGCGCATAGCGCAAATAGTTTTGAATAAGTACATTACCGAATACGTACTTCTAGCAGATATACAAGTAGCTTGTACAACTTCAATTGTTTACTTGTTCTTCAGTAAATTCCGGTCAACACTTTACAAGTTCTAAGACTTCCACTGTCTTAATAGTCTACCATTCCAGCAAAGATCCTTGGTTAAGTCTTGAATTATCACAAGGCTGTAACACTGATTCTGGTATTACAACTTGTTAATACTGGCTGTTACTGGAGGTACTTCCAGTATTACTTTCTACTTCAAGTACTTGTGTCTACAGATTCTATACTTTGTCTCCTGGACCACCTCGTCAATTTCTTTCACTAATAACAGTCGTTCCTATTACGGTAGGGGGAATTCTCGTTAGCTGCCCATTTGGTAAATTGAAAGTAAATCAATTGTGACGGTCACGATCGATTGCCATCGATTCGACATTTTTCAACCATTCGATGGTCGCAAGTGATTAATGTCCAAGATCAACCAGCCGGGGCGCTGCAAGGGCGTGAAGTTTCTCCCACCGCCCCATTCCACAGCTTCCCGCCTCCCCTCCGTTTCGATCCTCCCCCCTCCCCCTCCATTTTCGATTCCCCCCCCCTTCCCCCTCCATTTCGCTTCCCCCCTCCCCTCCATTTCGCTTCCCCTCTCCCCTCCGTTTCTCCCCTCCATTTCGCTTCCCCTCTCCCCTCCGTTTCGATCCCCCCCTTCCCCTCCGTTTCGACCCCCCCCCTTCCCCTCCATTTCGCTTCCCCCCTCCCCTCGGTTTTGATTCCCTCCCTCTTTCCCCCTTTGTTTCGATTACCCCTTGTCAAACATATTTGTATATATTACTATAGCCTAGATAGGGGCATGCCTTAGAGAGTACAGCTCATTAGGTCAAAACCACACTGTACCCTTGTTGCTAATTCACTATGCTACTCTAAGAATGAGTAGCCGCCTTCGTCGCCGTAGCAGCAGCTGCAGCCGCCAACGCCGTCGTCGAAGCCGCAACAGCCGCAACCGTCGCCGCCGTTGGGTTGTGTGCACTCTGGGGGTGCGGGCGTTGAGGAGGTTGCTGGAGAGGGTGCTAGTCCTGTGGTTACTATCGTGGCTCGTCCCGGTGGTCCTTGGGGTGACACGAGTGCTGGAGAGGGTGTTGGCACATGTTTTGGTTCTGGGGGTGCTGTCGTGGAGCGGTATGGAGGCCATTGTGGTGTGGAGCAGCAGCGGCCGCCATAGCAGGAGCAGCAATCGCTGCTGGTGTCTGCCAAATGCCT